CATACAGTATGTACACATGTACAGATGGGCACACATCAGTCTCATATCTATGAAGCTGCATGCCCCATAGCTGAGTTTGGTTATGCACATCAAAAGCCTGTCAGGTCATGTGTTCTATTTTCAGTAGAAGCCCTGTCAAATTCTATGATCCATCATCATTATGTTTACATCTATATATCATATCTATGGCAAATGACAACACTTCCTCCTCCTCCAGCTAGGTTGTTGTTGTTGTTTAGTCGTTAAGTCATGTTCTACTCTTCATGACCCCATGGACCAGAGCACACCAGGCCCTCCTGTCTTCCACTGCCTCCCGGAGTCTGGACAAATTCATGTTGGTAGCTTCGGTGACACTGTCTAACCATCTCATCCTCTGTCGTCCCCTTCTCCTCTTGCCTTCACACTTTCCTAACATCAGGGTCTTTTCCAGGGAGTCTTTTCTTCTCATGAGATGGCCAAAGTCTTGGAGCCTCAGCTTCAGGATCTGTCCTTCCAGTGAGCACTCAAGGTTGATTTCCTTCAGAATGGATAGGTTTGTTCTCTTTTCAGTCCAGGGGACTCTCAAGAGCCTCTTCCAGCACCACAATTTAAAAGCATCAATTCTTCGGTGGTCAGCCTTCTTTATGGTCCAGGTCTCACTTCCATACATCGCTACTAGAAAAACCACAGCTTTGATTATATGGACCTTTGTCGTCAAGATGATGTCTCTTCTTTTTAAGATGCTGTTGAGGTTTGTCATAGCTTTCCTCCCAAGAAGCAGGCATCTTTTAATTTTGTGGCTGCTGTCACCATCTGCAGTGATCATGGAGCACAAGAAATTAAAATCTGTCACTGCCTCCATATCTTCCTCTTCTATTTGCCAGGAGGTGATGGGACCAGTGGCCATGATCTTAGTTTTTTGGATGTCGAGCTTCAGACCATTTTTGTGCTCTCCTCTTTCACCCTCATTAAGAGGTTCTTTAATTCCTCCTCACTTTCTGCCATTAGAGTGGTATCATCTGCATATCGGAGGTTGTTGATATTCTGGCAATCTTAATTCCGGTTTGGGATTCCTCCAATCCTGTCTTTCACATGCTGTGTTCTTATAAGTTAAATAAGCAGGAAGACAATATACAGCCTTGTTGTACTCCTTTCCCAATTTTGAACCAAGCAGTTGTTACATATCCAGTATTTTTGAATATTTTTTTTGCTCCTAGAACCTCCAGTTAGCAAAGCTAATAGCGTGAGTGTAGTCTACGTTACATCTACAGGGCCAAAGGATTCACTCTTCTGATTTGTATAAATAATATTAATCCCAATCCCAATGGTTGTAAGTGCCTTTTACATGTCAGATTGTGCATTCAGTCACTATGTAGGTTTTCCACTGTCCAGGCACTGTGAGTTTGGTTACACACGGAGGTGGCATTTACCAGATTCTGTTAAGTTTCAACTGTCACAACTGGTTGCGTCCAGAGTACACAAGCTTTATGTGTTCAGTTGGGCACATGTTGGTACCAACTCTTGCTGAAGCTAAACAAGCCAGGTTTTGTTGGGTACTTGGATAAGAAACCATTTGGGAACTCCCCTGTGTGCCCTACTGAATTCCAGAGTAAAAGGGTGAGATAATATATAGGGAAGAAGAAGTAGATCCATACCATCACTGGTCAGGTCTCATCCAAGACATTTTTGTAACTGAAACGAAGACAATATGGTAATAATCTCTGTTCTAAATACAGACACAAATCTTACTTCAACACTGGCAATGGGACAGGATCCACTGTCTCACCAGAGAGCAGCTGGCCTGTTTAGCAGATAAAAGTTAAAGCAGTAAGATGTGCATAGCTCTGTTCTCCAGAAAGAGGTTTAATATATTGGAATCGCCTGAAAATAGTCAAGAAAGAAAGCTTCCATTGCAGCGCACTGGATTCTGCTGCCTGAGGCAGTTTCCTCACTCTGTCTGATGATAGGACTGTTTTTCTCATTGGTTATCATGCTGTGTCAGCAAGTTTGCAGTGCACTGCTTCTGAAAGTGGATGTAGCTCTTAATGAATCATACATTGTTGTTGGCTGCCTGAAACTCCCCCCCCCCAGCATTCAAAAAGACTATTATTTTTCTGGCATTGTCCCCCAGAAGTATGTTGAGAGGTGCTAGCAAATTATGAATGCAATAAAATAATACAACACCAAACCCACCCCCTTCATTTCTACCAAACACCTCTCAAGCTCTAAATATTAAATCAGGAAAGGCTAGGCTAAACTTATGGAGAACAAAGAAAACACACTTTGCCGAATGGATTAATGTCAAAGAGTATCTCTTACCAAGACAAGACTCTGGCTGGGTCATCTGGAAAGTCACCTAATAGACACTGGAGCAGAGTAGGAAGATCAAATAATCAAGTAAAATTGGGCTGCTTGGATACAGGACTAGTTTTATGTGACTGGAGAAATTCAATCAATTGCAGCATTTATGGACATGCAATTTATGCCCCACCATAAGTACAGAAGAAGATCTAGTAAATGGCCAAGATAATGCTATTTAAGGAGCCTGCTTTTGGTCAAAAATAGTCTAATTATTTTAATTTTTTTATTTGTTTTTAATTTTTACATATATTTCATAGACACCCATAATTTTAAATTGTGCAGTGCTCTGATATGAATAATGGAAAATTATGGTCTGTCACATACATGCCACTGTTAGTGCAGAGACATCTACTGAATCTTGGATGTGTTTAGAAAGGCTCTTCCCCATCATTGCCTATAAAGCAGTGTCACGTCTTTTTAAGTGCACCAACAACACTTTTGTATTTTTCCTAGGTATTGTAGACACAATTTTAATCTGCTGAGTGTTTTTATGATGCTGTCTGACCTTTAACTTATTTTCACATGTGGGTTTTTTTTTGTATTTATATTTTAGTTGTTTGAATCTTTTTTTATAAACCTGCCCTGGAAATATGATTGAATAGCAGTATGAAGTATTTAACACCAAACAAACAAACAAAAAAGGAAACAGACATATATATCTGTCAATCAGTCAATAAGGTGGTGGGATCAATAGGCTGATACTTGGCAGTGATACTCAGTGACTCCAAATGAGACATATCTATATATCTATATCTATATATCTTTTCTCTAATGTGAGCTCAGACCTGCCTTTTCTCTTCCTTACTTTTTCTTGACAACAATCCTGTGAGTTAAGTGAGACCAAAATCATGTGACTAGTCAACCCAGTGAGTTCTATGGATCGGAGTAGAGTAGAATAACTGTGTCAGCTTGAGATCAATGCCTGGAATCAGTAATGGACTGTAGGAGGATAAATAAACTGAAACTTAATCTAGACAAGACAGAGGTGCTCCTGGTCAGTTGAAAGGTAGATCAAGGAATAAGGATGCAGCCAGTGCTGGATAGGATTACATTCTCTCTGAAAACCCAGGTGTGAAGTCTGGGGGGTGTTTCTGGATTCACCTCTGAGCCCTGATGCCCCGAGTACTATATATCTAGGAAACTCTGGTACAGGTTGCCATAAGCTCAA